TGTTCCTAGTTAAGCACATTTCCCCGCTCCACTTGTGATAACTAATGGAATTAGGCAACTGGCTGTCAACCCAGGATGTTGTTCCCCAGGATCTAGCCCTGGGGTTGAAACCACCATTTCAGAAAAGAAAGTCAATGCAGGCTATTTTTCTACTGCTCCAACTGTGTGGCTGGAAGGAAGCTGTCATTCCCTGTTTGGCTGGCCCTGCTGCTAGACAGGCTGGAGCACTCGCTCCTCCCCTGCCCACCCGGCGGCCCTGGCAGGGCCCTACGTGGCCCTATCCCCCAGCACAGGTCAGGCGGGGAGGGCTTACAGCTCCATAGTCTTCTCCAGAATTCGGGGTTGACTGGCTGGACCCACATCCTTTCTCCAAAAGCTACTCTTTTAGAGAAAGAAGCAACAGAAGCAAAGAGAGGGCTGTCCTCAGAGACCGCGCTGTCCTCTCTACTTCCTCCTTGAACGTCATTCAAAGCACTGCCGGCGTGGGGAGCACAGGGACATTCTCTGCCTGATGATTGACACTTCAAGATCCAGGCACGTGACCTCAGGCCCTGGAGGAGTTGAATCTAGCTCCCACCGAACCTCGCTGCAGACCCTCAACACCTCCGGGCTGAAGGCAGCCGACCCCGACCTAAGGCGCGCACCAGTGGGAACAAAGGCGCGAGGCCAGGAGTCCAGTGGGCCCCTCAGTGCCGTGTGGCAGAGGAATAGGGAGACCTTGCCTAGTCCGCCATCCCCCAACCGCAAACTCCCACCGCAGCAGCGAGGGGCTCCCAGCCCTTCCTCCAGGCGGAGCGAGGCCACGCGGGGTGGCCGGCCCGTCTCGGGAAGGGCCGGCATGCTGGCCGGTTTAAAAATGTACCTTAGGGGCTCCAACTGTGAGAGGCCTCTGTTCTCCCCTTAGATGTTCAATCACTGTGAAGAAATCAGGAAAGAGGTGCCTCAGACATTCCTCTCACTCTTCAGGGAGGTGAGAACGGAAGAAAAAGCAGCAGCACCAGCCAGGGCCAGAGAGGGTTCACATGGGATACAAGAAATGACCCCGCGGGGCTGCCCGCTGGGTGCTGGGAAATACCCGGTGGGACTGGAAGGGCCCTTTCCTCAAAGGCTGCTAGACAGGCCCAGACACCCAGGCTGAACACGAGCTTTCAACTCATCTCCCTCTTTCTCATAATTTTTTTTTTTTTTTTTTTTTACAATCATTACTCTATATTCTTGAGGCCGGACTGGTATCATAGAGATAAGAGAGATAAAGCAATTAAGTAACTTGTCCTTGGTCATGAGGTAATTTAGAGATGCGAGAGGAAATATTCAGGGACATTAAGAGATGCCCTTGTCTTCAGGGGCCGCATCAAAGGCGAGGTGCCAAGAAGAACAAAGAGGAGAAAAAAGTCAACCACTTGGTTTTGACTTCCCAAAAGTGCTTTAAAACTTAAAGCCAAGACAAAGGACTTCTGATTGGCAAGCGCTGGGCACATCGTAACTCAAAAGGCTAAAGGCTAGAGGAAGCAGAGATCTCTACGAGATTCAAGAGGAAGGAGTTAGACCCTACCTTCCCACTCATGTCCCCTACTGACCAAGCTGGGGCTCCAAGAGGTGACATTTGGGGAAGGAGGAGAACAAGTAGAGGCAGGTGAGCCCCTGAGGAAGGTTCTGTTTACCGCCGTTCTCTCTGTCTGCAACCAGGAGGCGCTGGTGAAGCCCCAGGCGGGAGGGGGCCCCAGTGGCAAAGGCGGCCTGGGTGTGGCTGCCAACGTGAAACCCAGTCGGAGGCAAGCCTTGTCAGACAGCCCTCTGCGGAGACCAGAGACGGCTGCCCAGCAGGCCCGAGGGCGAAGGGCCTGGGACGGCCGTCTCGCCAGGGTCGTGCTGGACTCATCGCAGGGCATCCTCGCGTTTTCTGTGGCCTGGACAGGGGTCAGAAAGGGACCGTGGGAAGAGGAGTGCCCCTGGGAGAGCAGGGCACAGAAGAAAGAGGACACACATGACCTTACAGGCATGGGGAGCAGATGTCACGGACGGGCTCTCAGCTCGCACCGGAGGCCGTGCGGATGGACGCTAGGGGCCAACTCACTGAGTGTGGCCGAGCTCTGGAGTAAGCTGGACAGCGCCAGAAGCATCTTCGCACTGGAGCGCGGCTCACAGGCCCCTGCCCACACCCTGCTTTCTAGAATTCTGACACAATTCTGAATTGAAAGAACTGACCTGGAAGTGACTACATTAATGCCTTCCTTACCGGATGGGGCCAGGCTTCAAAACAGAAGACTGAAAATAAACTATCAATAACAATAACAATGCCACATTCTGACACACCAGCACCCGTGAGACTCTGAAATGCCATTTATGCAAGAGGCACAGAAACAAGAGCTCCTGACGCAGCTCAGAGCCCCGCACGTCCTGCCTGGGTAGAGCCTGCCCCGCCACTGCTGGCGGCCTGAGGGGTGGAGCGGGGGTGCGCGGCGCCTGCTCTACCCCGCGCCGCAAGGCTAAGGAGCCAAAAGAAAGCTGCCTTCCATTTCACCTCCGGCCTCCCCCTCACCCCGTCGTCCTCTCCCTCCCGGTGCTGCAGCCTCGGCTTCGCGCTCCCTGCCCGTCACAAACCGCTGCCAGGGCTGCAAGGGAAGAAGGTCACATCCAAGGAAAAGGTGTGCTGTCCCTTGGTTGATTTGATCCAGGTAAAATGTCATTAATGTAATCATTTCACATAATGACCCCAGGGATTTATCAATGCCCTCACTGCCCATAATACGTCCTTACCCTCCAGGGAAACGGTGATCAAATCCATATTAAAAAGTTAGGCATTAAACCCTGATAGGGGATTATACTCTCCTGCGTTATGATGTTGCTCGATGTGTAATGAATTAACTATAGCCATTCAGTCTTATCAACAGGTTGTTTCTGCTTCCCCAGCATGCTTATTTAAAAACTTTGCTGTAAGTCACGGCCCAGAAATTAAGTCTTTCACCGAGACGGGCAGCCTCAGAGCCTCATGGAAAGAGCTGTACCAAGTTCGACCGGCGCTTCACGTTAACAGGCCCACTGCTGCAGGCTCCTAAGGCGGTATTTCTTAGGCACCTGCCAGATGGAACCGGAGACTGAGTGTGGAGTTCCAGGACTCCTTCCAGAGGCAGATGACTTCATGAAGGCAAACTGGTGACCCCAGAGCCCGCGGAACACAAAATAATTACATAGGATTGAAGGGCTGATGAGGGGGATACAGTGCTGATGATTTGTTTTGGAACAGTGCTGTTATTTGTACTGTTCTGGTGTCTAACGGCGCCCTCTCTCTTTCCTCCTGAGCTAGCTCTCACTGTTTACCAACATTCTGAAACGAAACACTTTTAAACGGTGCTCGTGTTCCACCCCGAGCGCTCGGAATTCAGGAACAGCCGTTTCCTGAGTCTCTTCATTTTTAATGGCAATGTGGTCACTTGCATTGGCTCAATAAAAATTTGTTCCAATTTTTACAAAATTGAACAAATAGATGGGCAGTCAAGGCCATGCTTGGAGTGTCATATTCAAGAGTGACTCTCACTCAATCAGATATGACAAGGCCACCATTAAGAAATAAGGGCTGCACTTCGGAGAACTACAAAGCCCTCCCAGAAAACTGGCCTGTCCCCCCATGGGGACAGGCCAGGTGACCTTAGCAGAGCGGGCGCCCTTGCGGGGAGATGCGGGCTCCGCACGGAGAGGTACCACAGGCAGGAGGGAGGGGTGAGTTCTTGATGGGGTTGCCACGCTTCAGAATACAAGAGAAAATACAAGCGATAAACAACATACCTGGAATAATAGAAGCTACAGAATCTTCCTAAAAAGATTCTTAACAATTCTCCAGGCAGAAGTTGATTGTCTCAACTCTGCATTTGCTTTATACCACGGGGCTTTAGATTCTCTGTCCTCACTACAAGGAGGGTTGTGTACATTGATTAACATTTCTTACTGCAGTCACGTAAGTGAATCAGTCCACAACACAACAAGACCAGCTTTATGTCATCAAGAGTAAGTAATCTGTGGGGATTATTTGTGACCACAGTGCTTTGTGGTTTATGATGTCCCTCCACATTCTGAGTTAAACCTCCCAAGGAGCCCTTTAACACAACATTTCTAGAGTCCCCACCATGAACAAATTTAGACTCGAACATCATCTATGTGCTCTAGGAAGGACAAGATGACTTAAAAAGAGGCAAACAGATAAACACTCACACCCTGTTCATCCCCCTCCATTACAAACAGAAGACGTGCACGGCGCACACACACACACACGTGCGCACGCACACAGGGACGAGCAGCGTTTCCGTGCATGAGCCGGCTGTCACTGAGAAGGCCCGGGTCCCCAGAGGGCACCCTTCTATCTTGGGTCTCATTAGGGAAGCCTCAAAAAGTTGCTGAGGCCAGTGGGATGACATCACCCTCTCCACTGAGAAAACATCCAAATGAACCTAATCTCCCTGCCCCTCCGGGCCAGGGGAGAGAAGCAGCTGCCCTCTCTGCCCCCCCACCCTGAGTACTCTCCTTTCATGTGTCCCTGGGCTCCGTGCGGTCTTCCAAGCAGAATACATTAATATAGAAGTACTGGGGGGGGGGTCGGGGGGGGATACTTTCCACCTTTATGACATCTCTGCAGTCCCTGTTTTGAAACTTGGCCTTGAGGAGTTCAAAGGATTTCGATATCAGAGTTCAAGGAAGACCAAGATGCACCTAGGGCAGGCCCTAGTCTTAGATGCTGGAGAACCTGTCCTTCCTACACGGTAGCCAATCTGACCTCTCAAAGAACTTAGTGTGTACCTTGGAAAAACAGAATTAATTGCAAAGATTCCCTGCTCTTCTTTTCCTTTTCAATGGTAGCTGAAGGCAAGTCAGGTGAAGACTCCCTAACAAGCCCCCCCCCTGGGCGACAACGGCTCTGATCTGGGCCCCATTGCTGGCATCCGGGCGGAGCTCGGCCGGGCCGGCCCGCCCAGCCCTCCTTCAGCGGTTCCCCTGCGACGCCCACTCACCGTTCTTCTCGCCCTTGTGTTTCGGTGGCTCGGGCTCCGGGAGGCACGGGCAGGGCCCGTCGCAGAGGGTGGTGAGGCTCTTGCCAGTAGAACAGGCGTGGAACTCCATCTTGCACTGCAAAGGAGAGACAGAACAGTCTGAGGGACGCGGCCCTGTGAACTCCCAGCTGGCTCCGTGGGACCAACCAGGGCCGCTCTGACTGCAGGGAGGTGCGCGGGTGCACAGGAGCCTACACGGAGGAGAGAGGAGCCTGATGCAGTTAAAGGTCTGAAGAACAGCACCTCAATGAGAACTGTTTTTCTGAATGCGGAGTATAACATTGGAAGCACTGTAGAAGCACTGGACAGCTGACTTTAATACAGTTAACAACTGTAACTGTTAATAAAAGTATTAGTCTGAAACAACATCTTGGAATCCCGCAGGCTCAGACCCCGGCCCCCAGGCTGCTTCTCCCCCTGGGTCCAGCAAGGGAAGCTCCGCCCACAGAGCACCCCCCCACCCCCTCCACCCCCGCCCTGGGCTGCCCCAGGCTTTTCCTGGGGAGGGGAGTGTCTATTTAGTTAACTATTTAGTAACTATCTCTCTAGTTCAGATGGAATGTGTGAGGCCTAGTGCTTCCCCTGGGGAACAAAAGGAGTCAATGCTGTTGTTCCTACCACCCAAAACCTAAGTCTGCATGGTCTTTCCCCTCGGAGGCCCCCTGCGGTCGCCTAACCAGCTTGTGACTGGTACAAACAGCTGCCGGATTCTCAGATTCTTGGCGAAGCCCTGAACCATCTATCCACCTGCCAGCCCTTTCTCGGTAACACTGGCGGTCTTTTTGGCCACTTTCTGTCAGCTCTTTACTTGTAAGTTCCAACTATATGGAACAGAAGCTGGAGGGAAGGGTGCCGTTCCTTGGGGCAAAAGACCACAACAATCAACAGTCTTTTCATTCTTCTCACATTATGGAGTAACAAAAGGAGGCTCAGAGAGGTTAAATAACGAAAGATCAGGACACCCGAAAGGGCGGAGCCAGGGTTCACCGCCCCGCCTGACTCCAGGGCTGAGCACCTCCTGGACCCTCTTTGCTGTTCCTGCCGCAAGGATGGTTCCAGAGGACAGACGGTGGGCACTGCGCCTTGTGCTGCTGCTGGCCTGGATCTGAGCTGAGAGCTCCCCCTTTATTTCTGTAAAAATTCTCAAGATCAAGGCCTCTGATTAATCAGTCTTCTGCAAAGGCCTGTGGGTTCAGGACCATGTTTGCATCTTGTGGAGGTTCAAAGGAAGAGGAGATAGGCAAATCCTACCCCCGTGCGTGTGGCTCTTATCACATGCCACAGGGGATCTTTTAACAGAGAGAAAAAAGGAGATACAGCCATTGCCCTTGGAAAACGCTAGTGTGTATCTTTGGAAAAGGCCAGCAGCATTTGCAAAACAGCACACAGGAGTGCGGGTGAATCCTGGCTTGTTATGAGAGGACCAGCTATTCAGGCCCCATGTCAAGTTCAAAGCTCGGGGCAGAGTGCTTCCCACCTGGTTCTAAGTGTACTGCAGTTACTCCTGTGTAACTCCAACAGCCACCCACACCGCCATCGCCGGTCTCCGTGGAGAGCGAGCGGCGGACAGGCCTACAGAGAGCCGCTGGCTTCCTCTTCACGCAAAACTCTCTTCTGTACTTATCTGCTAGGCCCCTCGTATGCGCCCAGCGTGATGGCAGGAGGTGTGGGGCTGCAGGAAGGGAAGCCGTGGCCCGGGCCTCCCACATCAACGACTCAATGAGGAAGCAGAAAGACTATGTTCTTCTGAAGCCATGTGGACGTGTTTGGGAGGGGAGGTGGGACGCATGTCTACGTAGGGAAGCAACACGAAAGAGACCCGCAGGTATGGGCACACCGGCAGACTGTTCGGAGGGACAGACGGTAAGCCGAGAGGAACGCTGGGAGTGGCCAGAGAGCTGCCCCTGTGGGCGCCACTGTCAGTAGCCGCGCACCCGTGCTGGGGCGCAGAGTGGGGAAGGGCGCTTGTCCAGCCCCGCCTCCTCCTTCCCCAGGCTGGCTCTCTGGAACAATCCTCAGTGTCAGACTAGCAGTCCTTCCTCTATTTTGTCAATGGCATCCCTAATGCGACTGTAGGGGAAATGGTGTATTTTTTTATAAAAATGTTTTTTTATATAGTCAAATGTATTACATTTACTTACCATAAAGCCTTATTGTACTCTTACTGTAACTGCCCGTTTCCCTCTGTGATAGATTGTAACACTTTCCCCAAACACTCTCTGGCCTCCCTGACGGAGGAGTCTCCCCTTGGCTCCCTGTCCCGTGTCTTACAGCACAGCACTGCCCCGTGGGAAAGGGGACTTGCCTCCCAGTGACATCCGTCCTGGCCAGCGGACTGTGAATAGGAGTGACATGAGCCAGGTGGGAGCAGATGACCACTGCTTGGCCCCATTGGCTCGCTCACTCTTCTCTCTACATTGAAAACGGCACGAGCAGAATAAGGGCTGCTTCCGCCTGGGGCCCAGCCGGCAGAGGACAGGGACCGAGCTGAGCTAACCCACAGCTAACGGACAGCACAGACAAGGACGTAATACATGCTCTCGAAAGCCACTGGTGCTTGTGGATCATCTGTTACCACAGCATAACTTAGCAAAAGCTGATTAAAACCACGGACTCTCCACTGAACCATGAAGTACTTAACAACTAGAAAAGGTCTCGGTCACTGTCTCGCCCCTGGCATGATAAGACATCAGTCCTATACCCCTGACACACAGTAGGTGGTTAGGCGGCAGCCGCTGAATCTCAGAGGCAGAATGGAAGGTGGCACCATCATTCGCGGCTCTAAACCTGTCCTGGCTGCCGGGAGCTGCTGACCGTGGCACAGGGAACGCAGGCGCTGGAGCGCAGCATTCCTGGCGCTCCTGGCGGATGCCCCTCCCCCGCGCCCCCCGGACCCACGCCCGCCCCAGCCGCCCTCTCTGAGCCTCGCACTCAGCGCTCTGCCTCTCAGCCTCCCTGCTCACCCCGGCCTGTCCCTGGAGGCAGAGCTTAGTCCACCTGCTCCCTCGATGCCCACGACACCTGGGGAGCCTCACCGCGGGCCCCTGGGGATGGTCCTTGCAGTAACTCGGCTTCCGTGCCCGGCCTCCGTGCCCCGTCTTCTGCACAGGTGCTGTTGCAGCCTGCGGAGGCACCGGGTCTCCTCGCTGACCCAGGACGGTGCCACCAGAGAAAGTAAGACTCATCTGCACCAGTGAAAATGCATGTTTCAAGGGCACAGATTTGCTTTTTATCTTCTAGGACAATATGTGGCATTTAAATGAGGCTCAAAGGGCTGTAGCTCCATTTTTTATAAAGCTCAAAACATGCTATGTAGAGATACACACGTATGTGGCAAAAGCTACTTTAAAGGCGGGGGGGTCCCTGCAGGAGGGAGGTGAGAGGACGGCCTCAGCCCTCAGAACCCCCGTGACGGGGGACAGTGTGTCACGAGTTGGGTGTCGGATCCCAAGGCTTTTGTTACGAGGCTTGACAGCTGATACAAATAACACATACACGTGGCCCTGGCCAGCTGGCTCAGTTGGTTGGAGTGTCGTCCCACACAACAAAAGCCTGTGGGTTCAAACCCTGGTCAGGGCACACACTCAGGTTGGGGGTTCAATGCCCAGATGGGAAGCAACTAATTGCTGTTTCTCTCTCACATCAATCTCTCTCTCTCCTTTCCTCCTTCCCTCCCTAAAATCAACAAACATCCTCAGGTGGGGATTAAAAAGTAACAATAATACATACATGTGTATTTATCAAATACTTTATGATAAAGCATAAACATAGTTTATAGGCTTCTAGCACAGTGAGGACCAAGCTACACCCGCACCTGGGGGACCCCGGTTAGGAGGGGTACGTGAGCGCAGCGTGGGCTCACTGCCGGGAAGGGCAGGGGCGCAGAGCTCCGCGCAGACTGCCGCTGGGCAGGGCGCGGTGAGGTCCTGCCACTCAGTGCTCCCTCCCTGCAGCCCCCTCGAGCCCTGCCTGTGCCTGCCCCATCCCTTGCCCCATCCTCTCTTGCCCACGGTCTTGCTGGGGAAGAACAGATACAGAAGCCAAAAGGTGCTCACTGCCCCGGCTTTACCCAGAGGGGCCAGATGACTCTCAGAGTACAGGGTTTCTGCTGGACAGTGTTGCACAGCGTGACAGGGACTGTCATACCACGTGGGTGCCTCGTACCCAGTAGCACCCTCTCCCAACCCCCAGGCACCAGCGGCCGGGGAGAGCCCTGGCCACTCACCTGGGGTCGCAAGGCTGGGCTTTGCACAGTGTGCCCTGGCTGGGTACACACGGACCCCGAACACACAGGGCAGGCGCGCTGCCCCTTGAGTCTAGGGCTGCCAAGGAAACAGGGGCCAAGAGCAAAGACGCGGCCCAGGTGACCCTTCCAGGGCAGTGGTTCTGCCCCCGGCGGTGGATGGGCACCTGACCGCGGAGACACTGGGCTCCCGCATCGGGACCGTGCAGCCTTCCTCGGGAGAGGCAGCGAGGGGCGGAGAGTGAGAACGTGAAAGGATTCCCCGAGAGCAGCGTGCTCGACATTTTTGGCACCAGGGACCGGTTTCATGGAAGACAATTTCTCCACGGATAGGGCAGTGGGTGGGGAGGAAGGGGGATGGTTTGGGGATGACTGATGCGCACTTTACATTCAAGGTCGCCTCCTGCTGTGCGGCCTGGTTCCTACAGGTCACGGACCAGTACAGGTCTGAGGCCGAGATGGGGATCCCTGCTCTAGAGGGATATGAGGATGAAGAAATAAGTGCCTCCCCCCAACACCACAGGGCCATCACTGGCTCTCTCCCCACTTCAGGACCAAATGACAAGTGTTCAGAGTCCCCAGCCACACCCTCGCCCTGACAGCGTGCTCAAAGCAGGAGTAAAACCCGGCAACATTACAGACGGTGGGCGATTTCTCTGCAAGGGGACGTCCTCAGAGAGCGCTTGCTGGCGCCCCGCCTGCCCTGCAGGCCTGAGGATGCAGGCAGCCAGGGCGCCCTCACAGCTCTGCTGCAGAGCAGGGCGCCAGGCAAAGATGCGGGCTGCACATTGCGAGCCCGCCTCTCAGAGACCATGGCCTGGAGGTGGAAAAGC